TTTCCTACCTGCTCTCTTATTCATGTTGTTTGTGCACAGGGCGGGCGTGCGGTGTACTTGTGTGTTGCAGATGAGCATTTGACCGGCATTTATGGGTAATTATCGGCAATAATAGGCGACATAGAGTAGAGAAACATTAAGACTTAGGTAGTAAATACATTTCGTGTTAGATAACTTTTTTTTTATTGAGACGTTTCAAATCCAAGTGCCTGTGGATTGCATCTTATTCTTAATTGTTTACGCAAAAAATGTTGAAAGCTCGTTTCGTCGCTCAATGACGTCACAGTGTCGTCACGTCCGTACGGACTCAACTCCTGTTTTAAGGTGCATTGTGACCCTAACCATAACCGGGAACCCTAACCCTATTAAAAAAAAATTAAATTTTGTACAGTCGACACTGTGACTTCATTGAGCGACGAAACAAGCTTTCAACCTTTTGCATTGTTTAGGTGTAGGCCTACCACTTTTCTCTATCAATTATCATTATCAGGAGTCTATCACTCAGTTTGTCAATTGTTTACCACAGAAGTCAGCCTAGCTTTAGAAACGCATACGTACACTGTCATATTTCCTGCGCCCCTTATTATTACTGGATCTGGAACAATGGCAAGTGTATCAATATCTGATGGCGACAACCTATCTTCGTCTTCACCTTCTTCGTAAATCGCATCAAAGTCAGTCATTTTCGCAACACATTTCCTTTTCAACACCAACAACAAGACGTTCGCTTGTTACGTGACCGTAGCGCCACAGCGCCGTGCGGGCGTGGCGGGCACGCACCATCTGACCATCTCTGTCGCCAGTGCCGCAACCTTGTAGCGCAATGTTTACATTTTGACCGAAACTGAATAGGTAACAAAATATTCTTATATTTAGTCTTTATATCTGACATAGTCAGATGCAGCTTGTAGAATCTGATCGTCCGTCCGTGCGTCCGTCAACAGTTGGGCACAAATCTAGACGGCTCGACGTACGGTCACACGGGTCAGTGTCACGATACAGTAAAAACCCGCGTATAAGAACATAGATTTTAAGAACATGTTACTGTTAGGCTAAAATTTCCCATTTAGACCCCTTTACATAAGAACCTGTTTTAGGCTAAGATTTTAAAGTAGGTTCTTAATTTTCCATGCAGATGAAGACTTAAAAAGAAACCCAGGTAAAATAAAAAAGACGAGCTCAACAATATCGATGCAATAACAATGCCAATGCCAATGCCAATGCCAATGCCAATG